GAGCTACCAGCCTAACATTCACATACATCAAGACCGAATGAGCTGATCACAGTCTACTCCATTATTTGGGTGTTAGAAACACATGCCAACAATCACCTCTGCACAGTAGGGTCAAGAGAGAATACAGGCTTTCAGTTTAGAAGCTGATGCACTTTTATCAAGGGTGCTCATGAAATCAAAGAAATGTTGATGTTCCTAACATGGCTGGCAGTTAGAATGTTTAACAGAACCCTTTCTAGATATTTTGGGCCCATGGCAGGGTTCTATTCACAGAATCCTAGAGTTTTAAAATGGTATGGCAAACTTAGAAGCCATCTAGTTCAGTCCCCTCATTTTACAGATGAATGAATCAGGTGAAGAAAGCCTAGGTGACTTGTTAAAGATCATCAACTAATCCACGGATTTTCAACCGGTGTGCCAAAAGAATTTTTAAAACATGCAGTACCTGACTATTTAGTCAGGGGCACTGACCTCTTTTCCCTTAGGTTGTCAAATAAAAAAATGACAACAGCCAATACAAGAGCTGTCCCATGTGAATTAATCAAAATTATATCTTTTTTGTCAGATCGACGAAAAAAGTATTTTTTGGTGTGCCACAGAATCTTAGTAGTAAGTTTATGTGTGCCATGAGATGAAAAAGGTTGAAAATCACTGAGCTAATCAATGGTGAGCTGAGATATAATCCAGTCCCATACACCGTGATGTTGGAGCCAACCAGAATTTCCCAAGATTCCTGACTATGCCCCCCATCTCATCTCCACCCCCCGCCTTATTTATAAGTACTTACACTGAAAAAGAAGGGGAGTGGTGGTGTCAGCGAGGGATAGTATATGATGAGGAAAGAGCTTAGATTCAGAAATCATCTTGTTTTTTCAACTAATGTTACTAATTTGTATTTTTGAGGTTTAGTGTCTTCAGCAAAGTAGGCATAAGTTATTATTAATAATAAACTGCCTCAAAAGATTATTACGAGGGTTAATAATAACTTATATAAGGTGCCTGGTACACATTAGGTGTTCAATAAGTCATACCTATTATTAAATGGTTACTCCTCCCCCATAACAAAGATATATTAAAGTAACCATCTATATGCCATAAAAACCCTTCAGTTTTTGAGAAATGCAGTTGACAATACCGACACTTTTATAATAAATTAGTACTTAGATGTGTAAGTGCAAGTTACACACTCACCCACATACAGCTGTCTACTCTACACAAATCAAAATTATCTTCCTCTCCCTCCCACTGTCTCATTTGGATGCTTGAGAAACAATTCTTAATGTCTTTAAACACAATCTGCTTACTTTGATACTGCCTAAAATGAAACAAGAAACACTGTATTTTTAAAAGTACATTAGGCCCTGGAGCAGAAGGCAATCCAAGTGACGGCACAGCTCTGTGCACAACATCCTCTGCGTAGGTGACAGACCCCTCAGATTGCTAATTACCCAAGGCTCATCCCATTGATAAAAATAACTATTTGTTTAATACTTTATAGTGAATGAAGAGTTTTCATATATATAATTTTAAATGTTAAGAAACCAGGAAAGGATGCTCTGTCCTCTGCCTGGCAACAAAAGCAGGAGTAGGGAATACTATCCAGACATATTGGCTCACTACATGACTGAATTTATATTACTGTTATTAGTTTGCTAGTTACAAAGTACCACAAAATGAGTACCTTAGAACAACAGGCATTTATAGCTTCACAGCGCAGGAGGCCAGAAGTCTGAAATCAATGTGCTGGCAGAGCTATGCTCCCTCTGTAAGCACTAGAGAAGGGTCTGTTCCAGACTGGTCGCTTCGCTATGAGTCCATTGCCTTGCTGCAGCTACTGGGGAGGAAAAGGCCTTCCTCTACCCTCAAGGTTCTTCTGGCTGGTCTAATAATCAAATAGACATGAGACAGATTAGCAAGAGAAAGAACCAAATTTAACGCATACATATGTATGGGAACCCCACATACATGAGAGAGTCAGAGACCCCTGCATGCACAAGAGGTTCAGAGAACAGAAAGGCATTCTGAGCTTGGATGAGGTAATGCACCTTGGGGCTTCAGAAGGTCCCTGCAGGAAGGAGAGCACATGTTCAGTAATTTATTAGTTTGCCCTACCATATAGATACTTAAAAACTCGTTTCTGGTGATAATTCTTATCATACGCCAGGCTCCTGATTTACATTCTTCTAGGTAGTGAAGGTGGGAGATAGAAATTTCTCTTGAGCCTGCAGGGTTTGTTGCCTTTAGCTCAAAATAATCTGCATACCACTGAGGCACATCTTGGGGTGACTAGCTCTGAACACCCCCCCAGCATAACTCCAACCTTCCTTGTGTGTGGGTCTGTGTGCAAATTTACCCCCTCTCCGTTTTCTAAATATGTTTTTATTGAGTTCAGAGAGAAAAAGGGAGAGGGAGAGGGAGACAGAAACATTAATGACGAGTGTCCTTTATCCGGCTGCCTCCTGCACACCCCCTACTGGGGATTGAGCCCCCAACCTGGGCATGTGCCCGACAGGGAACCCAACCACCACCTCCTGGTTCTTAGGTCCCTGCTCAACCGCTGAGCCACGCTGGCCTGGCAAATTTACCCCGTTTTTAAGGACCTCAGTCACACTGGATGAGGGCCCACCCTAATGACCTCATCTTAACTTGATCTTATTTTCAAATAAGGTCACATTCACACGTACTAGGGGTTCTACGAATTTAGAGAGACACAGTAACACAATTAAACCAGTAACAATTGCCATATCCTGCCTCCTCCTAACCTTGCCACACACCCTGCCAAACAGCATTCATTAATTCTGGCACTCAACAAACATTTAGATGCTGATGTATCAGGTTCTGTACTGGGTGGGTCTTGATGCAGAAAAATGAACTGGATGGAGCCCTGGTCCTTAAGTCACACTTTAGAGGGAATCAGAGACACATTATTATAGTGGTAAGTACAATTCTTGAGCACCTACTTGCGCTGGTGTTAAAAGAGGCATTTTTCATTCAGTCTTCTCAACAGTGTGATAAGTGATGTATCGGAGACATGCCTGGAGGGGAGGCTGAAGGTGGGGGGGGCAGGAATATTTTCACAAATTAGGTTGCACTTCATTGGAGTCTAAAGGAATGAGTAGAAATATACTAGGTTGTAGCGAGCAGCCGATCCCAAAGAAGAACACTTTATAGAGAGAAAAAAAAAACAGCCAGAGAGTAAAGGTTAAGAGATACAGACTGTAAGCTGGGATTTTCGCCTGTTTTCCTCTCTCCTGTATCTCCAGCACTTTGCGCAGTGTCTGCTGAATGCTGAATCCAGCGATTGTTGAATGAACACAAGGGCCTGGCATGGATAAGGAACGGCGCGGCCTGCAGTTCACTGTCCCCGGTAAGGTGGGCAAAGGCCGCACTAAAGGTAAGAGATTAGGGCTGACGTACTGACGGATCGCTAGTATTAAGGAATTACAAGAAGTCCAGGAACGCTTGGCACCCGCCCTGCCCATTTCCCCACTTGCCCAGGGCAAGTACAACGGTTAGAGCCTCGCGAGGGCCAGAAGAATGGCGCCGCCCGCTCCAACGTAGGGTTCTTCGCACAAAGCAGGGCTGAAGCACGTGGTCTGGCCTCAAAGTCGACGAGGAGCCGCCTGCTCTCTTCCGTCCACCCCATCTTG